AGAGAGACAGACAGACAGACAGACAGACAGACAGACAGACAGACAGACAGACAGAGAGAGAGAGACAGAGACAGAGACAGAGAGACAGACGCCAACAAGGACTCACCAGCCACAGCGCCCGCACGTCCATCGTCCCTGTCCCTGCACTGAGAGCACGGTAGAAGTTGATCCATCTGCTCCACCACGACTGGCTAGCCGGGTTTGTGAAGTCTGGGAACGCACTCGGTCCGGCCCACACCTGGGGAGAAGGGGTTTGTGTGGGGTTTTTGTTGTTGTTGTTGGAAAGGGTGGGGGTGGGGGCGTGGATGCCATTGAAAGGAATAGAAAAAGGGAGTGACGGGGTGGGGGCACGGGGAGGGAGGAGGGCAGTTAGAAGGTTTGAGGGGAAGGGGGGAAAGGGAGGATAGCGACAAAGAGAAATGAGAACAGGGAAGGGAAGGGAGATGAGGAGGGGGGGGGAGGGGGGAGCAAAGGAGGGGACGATGAGGTGGAGTAGTTCGAGGTGGCAGGTAAACAAGGGAACAAAGAAGGAGTTAAGGGGAAAGGGGGTTGGAGATGGGGGGGATTGGGAGGAAGGTGGGGAAAGAGAGGGTACATGAAAAGGATGTTGGGGGTGGGGGGGGGGGTAATAATTGTAAACAGACCATCTTTTTAGCTCCTACTCCTATACAATAGCTCTGAGTGCTTTACAAGGGGTTAAAAACAAGAGAGATTTATTGTTAATATTATTTAGAGGAAAAGACAGAAATGTTGTAAGTAATTCAAACTGTTGTTGGATGGAGTCTTCTTTACGACATGATTGTTGAGTATGAAAGCACAGTAGTTTCAAGACGATATTGTTCCCGAAGTTTGCTAAGTGAGAGTTGTTGTAATGCACGCAGCAGAACAGATGAAATGAGAGTTTTTCAAAGAGTATTGATTAAAAAATGTAGATAATTTTCAAATTCTTCTTAGTTCACAGTAATGCACACTGCATAAACGACACATTTGACGGCCCATGGATAGTTTTAATAAATGTGTGCCCACCGAGAACGACCTGGATAGAGGGGGAGTCCGGGAAAAATTAACCACCCACGGCATCCCCTTGACCCAAGCTCTCCGGCTGGCGACAGAGAGACGTCTCTTTCATCCCGCGACACTCAAAAGGGTATAAAGTAAAGTGAAGTACAAACCTCCCCTAGCAGTGTGTCATTGGCCGCGTCCTTGACCCAAATATCTGCCTGGTTGCCTGACTCCAGCATGTCGTAGCCCGGGAATTGATCTTGTACCTCTTGGATCAAACTGCTGTTGACCGCCACCACTGGGTCCTATGGGTATTAGAGGGAGGGGAGGAGGGAGGGGAGGGA